TATATATATATATATATATATATATATATATATATATATATATATATATATATATATATATATATATATATATATATATATATATATATATATATATATAGAAAAGATCATGTGAGAAGTCCCCCTTAGGCTGAGAAGCTGAGAAGTCTAACTTATAAGCTCAAAACATGAATTTTTAACCAATAAATCATAACTTATAGACCCCCTCCAAAAAAATTACGAAAATGCCACCGCGTCAAAATAACTCCCGAAACCTGGATTTTTTTTTGCAGAAAGTTCGTGTTTTTGAGGGGGTCTATAAGTTATGATTTTTTGGTTAAAAGTTCGTGTTTTTTGCTTATAAGTTAGACTTCTCAGCTTCTCAGGCTAAGGGCACTTCTCAGCTCATCCCCCTATATATATATATATACACACACACACATGGGTGAGTTCTAATACAAAGGGGTCTTCCCATGAAAAGTGAGAAGTGATCTAAAGCCTTGATCACTTCAAAATGAATGGAGTGAATCAAAACTCACGGTAAACCAAAATGTGTAATACATAATAGTAAAAGTGCATATGCCATATCTAAGAGTGCATATTCACCTCCTAAAAAAATAACACAAACGATTTCTATACTTGTTGTTTTCCACCCCGAAAATTGATGCACTTTTGTGTTACTCCAATGCACTTTTTCTCCATACTCATGCACATTTGTGATTTGTACTATTGGCACCGAATTTTTTAATATTACACTATTGGCACCGAATTTTCCACTCTAAAATTGATCTGATTCATTCATTTTCTCATTTTAACGGCTAAGAGTACTTCTCATTTTTCATATAAGTAGTACTTTGTATTTGAACCTCCCTATATATATATATATATATATATATATATATATATATATATATATATATATATATATATAGATTAAAGATCAAATGAGAACAAGGCTTAACGTGAGAACGTGAGAACACCACATTTACCCTGATGTGATGCACAATGAGGCTAGCCTAATGCACTTTTTCACGTTCAGCATAATATTTAGATTATTTACCAAAATGCCACCGTTATTATTTATATTGGCTTGTTTGGCGCAAAGTCAAAATGTGCATCAGACGGGCTCTATTGTGTATCACATTGGGTTAAATGCGAGTGTTCTCACGTTCTCACGTTAAGCATCGTTCTCATTGGAACCGCACCATATATATATATATATATATATATATATAAACCCAGCCACACAATTTGAACGTTGGTGGATAATTAATATACTTTAATAGTAGTAAGAGCTAGCAGGTCACAAATCATGTTTTATAGAAAAAAAAACTGCTCAAGCTAGCGTACGTTGTTGTCCAGGAGAATTATTAATCCCCTTTATAATAATAATAATAAAAGCTAGCATCTCATCAATCAACCGTTATGATTATAAGCATGTGCATATGTTAGTTTTAATTAACACACACTGCACACTTAAAAGTAACGTACACAAAATTTTAAAATTTGATTAAATTAAAATTAGTAAAACTTTATTCATTTGAAATACTCTCAATTTTTCCAACAGTGTACAAATATTTTCTCATTTTTTGCTATGATCCGGACACAATTTGAAGCAGTTGTTAAAATTGTTCATAGTGATAATGGGACTGAATTCAAGTGCATGCACCCTAATTTTAGTGAGCATGGTATCTTATTTTAGAGCTCGTGTGTAGAGACACCTCAACAGAATGGACGAGTCGAACGTAAACATCGACATATTTTAAATGTCGCTCATGCATTAATGTTTCAGGTCAATGTTCCTATACACTTTTGAGGTGAATGTGTTCTGTCAGCGGTTTATTTAATTAATCGCACCCCCTCTGCATTGCTTGGCGGGAAAACCCCATATGAGGTACTTACTGGTTGTACTCCCAGTTTTAGTCATTTGCGGGTCTTCGGTTGTCTGTGTTTTGCTCATAACAAGAAATCTAAGGGTGACAAATTTATTCCGCGTAGTAAGAAATGTGTATTTGTTGACTATCATCATGGTCAGAAAGGATGGAAGGTGTATGATATGGACACCGATGATATATTTGTTTCTCATGACGTTAAGTTTCATGAATATGAGTTTCCTTTTTCCATTGGGACCGAAGAAGTGACAAACCCAGCCGTATCAGTTGATGTTCCGGCTATTACTGATGATGACGTGCCTGCTCTTGGTCAGCACAACACTACCGCTACGGATGAGAACTCGGGTGCTCCACCACTGGACACTACTTCCCAGGTTGATGCCGCGGCATATGTACCGCCTACCCCTGCAACAGATAATTTACTTGGACGAGGACAGCGTGCTAAACGTACGTCTGTCCTCCTACGCGACTTTGTTACACATCACGTTCGAACGAAGACCCCATCCCTATCTCCTCCTGCCTCATCAGGTTACTCAGGTATGTCCTATCCTATAGCTCACTATGTGAATTGTGATAAGTTTGCTTCACGTCATCAGGCGTTTCCTGGAGCTATTCTCGCAGGTCTTGAACCCCGGTCTTTTAAGGAAGCTATGACTGATGCCGGATGGAGGCGGGCCATGCATAGTGAAATACGTGCTCTGGAAAATAATAATACTTGGATTCTGGAACCTCTACCTCCAGGTAAAAAGGCGCTCGAGTGTAAGTGGGTTTACAAAATTAAGTATCATTCTGATGGCACGGTTGAGCGACTCAAAGCTCGGCTGGTTGTTTTTGGCAATCACCAGGAGGAAGGTATTGATTACACTGAAACGTTTGCTCCTGTGGCTAAAATGGTCACAGGTAGGGCATTTTTAGCGGTTGCTGCCGCCAAAAACTGGGAGTTGCATCAGATGGACGTACATAATGCGTTTTTGCATGGGGATTTGGATGAGGAAGTTTACATGAAGCTTCCTCCTGGCTTTCATCCTACTCAGCCTGGAGTTGTTGGTAGGTTGAAAAAATCTTTGTATGGGCTGCGGTAGGCTCCTCGATGTTGGTTTGCCAAGCTACCCGCCTCTCTTCGACATTATGGGTTTCGCCAGTCGTATTCTGATTATTCCCTATTTACCTTCCGACAAGGCGGAACGCATTTGAATGTGCTTATTTATGCTGATGATTTAATTATTGCTGGTAATGATTCTTCTGCCGTAATCAATTTTAGAAAATACTTGAGCGAGTGCTTTCATATGAAGGACTTGGGTGTTCTGAAATATTTTCTCAGCGTCGAAGTGGCGCGTAGCCCTGATGGTATCTTTCTCTGCCAAAGAAAGTATGCCCTTGATATTATTTCCGAGACCTGTTTGCTTGGTGCTAAACCTGCTGGGTTCCCCATCGAGCAAAACCATACACTGGCTTTGGCATCTGGTCCTTTGATCTCTGACCCTGAGTCATATCGCCGACTTGTTGGACGTCTAATCTATCTATCATTCACCCGTCCTGACTTGGCTTATGCGGTGCATATTCTCTCTCTGTTCATGCAGGCCCCACGCCAACCGCATTGGGATTCTTCTCCTGGTCAAGGTATTCTTCTGAATTCCTCTTGTGATTTGACCTTGACGGGGTGGTGTGATTCTGACTGGGCCAGCTGTCCACTTACTCGCCGATCTCTCACTGGACGGCTTGTATTTCTTGGTTCTTCTCCCATCTCTTGGAAGGCCATGAAACAACAGACGGTGTCTCGCTCCTCGGCCAAGGCCGAATACCGTTCCATAGCAGCCCTTACGGCAGAATTAAAATGGCTTAAGAGTCTTCTTCTTAGTCTCGACGTTGCCCATCCTCGGGCTATATCATTGTTCTGTGACAGCAAGTCCGCCCTTCATATCACCCAAAACCCCGTCTTTCATGAGCGTATGGAACACATCGAAGTTGATTGCCATTACGTTCGGGACGCCATACAAGAGGGACTGATTGCCACCAAACATGTTTCGACTACCGAGCAACTAGCTGATATATTTACGAAGGCTTTGGGCAAGTGGCAATTCCTCTGTCTCCTTCGCAAGTTGGGCATTTACAACCCGCATGCTCCAACTTGAGGGAAGGGGGGGGGGGGGGGGGGGGTGTTAAGCATGGATGGGCCTTAGTAATTATTGTATTTAGTTAGCAATTGTTCTTAGTGTACATTTAATGGGCTGCGACCTTCTTTTAGAATAGGGGTGTACACATACCTTGTATAAATATTGATATCATGAATAAAGTCAAACACAGGAAATTTTACCCATATTCATACGAAATCAAACACTGCCATCTTTTATAAAAAAATAAACACAATGTTGACAATTCGTTGAAGAACACAATATTTTTATGCCATAATATCATATGAAAATATGCCATATAGTTGGCAATACTTTTAAATCGATGTCAAAATTAAATACAAATTTTCTGTCATAATGTATTACATGAAACTGCCAAAATTTTGGCAAAAAATGAACTTAACACCCAAATCTGGAAAACCAGAGTTTTTAATGAAACTAGAAATTTATTGAAATTAGAAATCTCAAACACGAAATCTGTCATAATATATTGTTCAATTTTGCCAAAAGATTGGCAATAAAAATTAAAGTTTAAAATAAAAGTTTTTTTTGCCATAATATAATATTGAGTACTACATGAAACTGCCATAAAGTTGGCAAAAATGTAAAGCCGATATTCCAAATCTGAAAAATACGAATTTTTATCGAAATTGGAAATTTAACGACAACGGAAATCAGAAACCTAAAGCCGATGTCTACAAAACAGAAAAGTCGATGTCCAACTCCAAAAATGTTCATGAAACAAAAATCTTTCTACCAAAAAACAGTAAAATCAGTGAGGGGAAACATGTTATTAACCATGAAGATTAGAGAAAAAGAAGAACAAAAGAAGAAGGGGGAGACGAAGATAAAGAAGACAAAGAGGAAAGAAGGAGGAGGAGTAGGAGGAACCTGGAATCTCTTAAAGAAGGGGGAGACGAATATTTATCCATCACTATTTTAGTGCCTATGTTGCATTGGACCTAAAGAACCTCTTAAAGAAGGCCATGCTACTGTACCATACACATAAGGTAACTTTGATAAATACAAAAATTCAGCAAACTTCATAATTCTAATTTATAGCTAAGTGGTGTGATTCAAGGTGGCTATAATGCAAATTTGAAGAAACCACACTACAAATTAAACTCAATCAATTACTTAATCCAACACAAAACATTATAAGCTCACATTCGAGCTCAAACATTACATTGTGAGATATTTTACTCTACATCACAGTCCCTTAACACAAACAATTAGGAAAGAGGAGGCAAACAACCAAGACAAACATGGATGGTAAAAATGCCAATTCAATATCCAGATCAAAGAAGAAGAATTAAGCACATTTCATTAGATGCAGAGAAAGAGAGAGAGGCCATATATGCAGGCTGAGCATTGATTGAAATAAAATTAGGAGGATAGTTCTGCAACCACATCAGTAGCAGAGTTGACTTTCTTCTCATGGTCTCCTCCCTCAAGCTGGCTCAAGTTCCCCTTTTGCTTTATGAGTTGAAGATGGTGGTGCTTGCAGTAGAGGCGGCCTTCATGAGCAATATAGTTAGATGGACTGATCACACATCCTCCATGGCTGCATTTGAAGCAGCTCTTATGGTATGCACTCCCATTCACTGTCACCTATATATCATGAACTTTTATTAGTTCACCTCTCCAAGCATTAATCCCCAGCCTAATGGCTTTAACCTACCTTTTCAGTTGGATAAACAGTCTTTTCGCAGCCCACACATTTCTCTCTGGTTCCTCCATATACACTTGTAGCTTTTGTTGCCAAAGGTTTCTGTTTGAGATGGTTTAACTAGGGAGTTAAATTCCTTGTCCATTATATAAAGATATACACACCCATTGGGATCTCATATTCTCATGCCTAAAATGTCTCTTAGTGAATATGCTGCAGAGTCTATTTGTGTCTTACCTCAGGTAGTGCAGGTTTCTCTGGTTTCGCAATCTTTGGCGTCCCTGAAATGTTATATATATGATGTATCTTTCAGATTTCTCAGTTTTTATAATATAGAAATAAATCATAAAACAATCTCTTGATAGGAATCATCATTCAGCCTTCTCCCATTATCTGTTTTCCAAAATACTTTGTTTGGACTTCAAACTTCAAAGTAAAAGATCTTTCTTTGTTCTTCAAATAATTCTCTTATACCTTCGAAGCTTTTGTCCAAACTTCCAGTTCTTTTGAAGACCTGATCAAAGTGTGGCCTGCAATAAAGTACTCCCTCAAAGGAGTTGTAATTCCCCAGCTGAACAATGACCACAACCATCAAGATTGATTAATTAAAAAAATGGAATTAGAAGATCTAACAACAGCAATTCAAATTTGGGTACCAAGTAAATCATAAATCATGAATCTAGATCAATAAAAATAAGCAGATGAGACAACATGTACAATGTTCCTAGTTTCCATAAAATTATAAATGTTATTTAGGAGACGCTCAACAACGTTAACATATAATGTAAGCTGCATAATGTTCTTAAAATGGTATAGTCCACTTTATGCTAAAACTGCATAATGTTCTTAATCATCTTCCAGAAGACCTCCAACTCCTTGATTGATATAGTAACTTTTCATTTGGACAGGATTTTATTTACTCTGATTTGAGAGGAACCAGTCTACTTTGGTCTAGTATATTTCAGTTTGGTGATAGTCCAAAAAAAGTTGAAGCCAACACTTACTTAGGTGAACCAGATACATAATAAATTCATATGAGCCTCAACTCTCAAGTCTCAACCTTAAAATGAGATTATGATATGGTTAAGAAGGGGTTTAATGCATTACTGCATTAGCGCTTGTGATTTAAAACTTTTTGCCAAACTCCTCTGTGTTATAATTCGAAAATCATGTCCAAGTATATTGGCCAAAGTGCATAAATCATTTTACTTTTATTAGCTAGAGAACTATATTTGTTTTTCAAGGGGATTATGTGCATGATTAATGAAAATACGAGGGGTTTGACACACTTTTCAAATTAGAAAGGCGAAGGGGTTTGGCACATTAAACTGTAAGAAAGATCATCAATGATGAAATCCCCCTAGCCAAACTATAAATAGGCACCAAGTGTGAATATGAACAATGTATAAAAACCTTGAGGGTGCCTTTGCAATGGTGGCATCTGAAACAAGCCTTATGGTAAACTCTGTTGTCTGCAGTCAACTTGTCAACCAAATATACAGTCTTGTCACAGGCCATGCATTTCTGTGTGGTTCCTGCAAATGCCATGATTTTAGATGAACGACTTCTCCTGCTGCTACCCTTCTCTTCTGCAGCTTAATTGGTTTCTCCACCAGTGTTGAACTTTAATTTACAAGACTTTGGATTGGGGACATAGGGGGCTGCAGTTGTTGGATGAAACCACCACATATAATATAAAATAGTATACATTGGTCTACCCAAAGATTATTTGAATTAAGTTCATTTATTCATTTTTATTATCTGATTTTATGTATAAAACTTAAAAACTTAATACCATTCGTCCCACGAAACTTGACTAACTTTTCGCATTTAGTTGTGTCAAAATTATTTATTGTTTCTTTTTATGGCAACCAAACTGTAATATCAAATTTATGGTCTCTTTTATGGTCTCTTTTCAAATTTACGGTAACCAAGAGACTAATCTAATTTACAGTCTTTTCTCCAACCAAACTATTTTTTACTTCCTTATGGTACACTCAAAATTATTTCCATCATTTGCAATGGAGCCAAAGATTCATTATTTTTTGGCTTGAGATTGTGATGAAATAAAGCAAAATGGCTCATTAAACTGTCTGCGCTTCTTTGTTATGTAGCAACAGTCAGTCCATGCAATTTTGGACGCGATTTTCACTATGGGTCATCCGGAAACAGTCTCTCTATGCCTTTAGTATATGGGTAAGACTGTGTACATCCGACCCCCTCTTACCCCACCATAGGTGGGAGCCTTTGCGGCACTGGGGTAAATGAAAAAAATGAAATGGTACACTCAAAATTGCTTTGACCAAATTTTATTGGAGGGTGTCATATCTAGGGAGTAATACTGGCTAAGCTGACTTTTGAAGTAACTTCTACTAGATTCGTCCTTTGAAGTACCGACGAGCTAGTACCGACGAAGCTGACTATGATTAGGTCTGAATTAACCTATTTAGAAGTTTTGAAGGATAGTTCATAGACTCTAATATTATGAAAACGTAAGCTCCGACACCTGAATAATAAATAAATAAACTGACTAAAAAATAATAATGGGCTAGTACATATAGGTAGTAAATAAATATCGCCAGCTTGAGAGTGCCAACTAACTCTCTCTTAGACCTATTGTTTTCCAATCATTCTATTCGATTTAGTAACCAGCTTGGAAAATATGAATAATGGTGGGGGTGGTCTTATTCTCCTTACAGCTATAGTCATCAAAGCTATTTCATCAGTTCATCACCTAAAAATAATTACTCCCTCCGTCCCCCAATTAAGATACCGGTTTGACTTCACACGTATTAAGAAAATAAATTTGACTTTACTGTGGAGTGCATTGTTTTGCACTGTTCAAACATTGTTTGACACTGTTTTGCACTGTTTGACACTGTTTTGATGTAGATAATTTGCCAAATAAGGAAAGTAAAAAAGTGTGAACTTAATTTAGTGAATGCTTAAAAAGGAAAGTGGTATCTTAATTGGGGGACGGAGGGAGTATTATCGTGTGAAACGGTATATTCATCACTATATCGAAAATTAAAGTAAACTTGAAAAGAAAGAAACTTTACTTGCGCATGAATCATGATTATTTTTTGCAATAACGCCAGCTAAAAGTGCACGTGCTATGTTGCTTAGTTTGCAGATATGTATTCGAAAAACATAATTGACATTGTTATTACTGTGACAATAATGGAACATGATACTCTCTAAGGAGTCCTAACAGATATATTTATATTAATGAGAGTTTAATGTAAAGTACAATACTGATCTAATAATAATTCTATTACACCCCCTCAAGTTGTGCGGGAGAAACAACGCGCAGGTTGTCCTTCAAAAAATGAAAACGCTGAGTAGAGAGACTCTTAGTAAAAATATCTGCCAACTGTAAATGAGTAGGAACATGTTTAACAATGAGATCTCCATGAGCCACACGTTCACGAATAAAGTGATAGTCTATCTGGATGTGTTTACTTCGGGCATGCTGAATAGGGTTTACAGTCAGATAGGATGCAGAAACATTATCACATAACAGATGTACGGGTTCCGTGATGGGGTACCCGAGTTCAAACAGAATCGAACGAATGTGAAGTGTATCCTGGACAGTGTAAGCAATGACACGGTACTCTGCTTCTGTAGATGACTTGGACACCGTAGGCTACTTTTTAGACTTCCAAGAAACCAAATTAGGGCCCAAAAATACCGCAAAACCTGTGGTAGACCGAGACATATCTGGACAACCAACCCAATCAGCATCAGAATAAGCAAGAACACAAGTGGGCCGATTAGTCCGCTGAAGCCATTATCCATGATCTTGTGTACCCTGTAAATACCTGAAAATTCTCGTGACTGCAAATAAATGAGTAGTACGAGGGACATGCATGAATTGAGACACTAAGTGTACTACATAAGTAATATGTGGCCGTGTCAAAGTTAAATATTGTAACACACCAACCATGCTGCGATACTCAGTAGAGTCCGAAAGTAACTCACCATCAGATAGAGGCAGAGTGGTACGGGAAGCTAACGGTGTGCGAACAGGTTTAACTGTATGGAGATGAAATCAGGCTAGAAGATCAGAAACATACTTGTTTTGAGAAAGAAACAAACCTTTAGAGAGGCGAGTAGCCTCTACGCCAATAAATAATGAAGATTACCTAGATCCTTCATAGCAAAGTGATTAGAAATAATAGAAATAAACTGGGTAATGGTAGATTCAGAATTGCCAGTAATAATAATATCATCTACATATAGTAATAAATAAATAATAGTATTCTTCTGGCGATAAATGAATAAGGAATTATCAGACTTACTGCAGACAAAATTATGTTGTAAGAGAAAGCTACTAAATCTATGAAACCAAGCCCGTGATGCTTGTTTAAGTCCATAAATGGTCTTACGCAACCGACATATATGAATAGGAAATTGAGGATGAGTGAAACCACGGGGCTAATGCATATACACCTCTTCGGTTAGATGACCATGTAAAAAGGCATTTTTAACATCAAGTTGTCTAATGACCCAACCAAAAGAAACAGCTAGAGTAAGGACGACACGAACTGTAGTAGGTTCAATGACAGGACTAAAGGTTTCAGAAAAGTCAATACATGCCTGTTGATTAAATAATGAAGATTACCCATATCCTTCATAGCAAAGTGATTAGAAATAATAGAAATAAACTGGGTAATGGTAGATTCAGAATTGCCAGTAATAATAATATCATCTATGATGGAGTATATGGGTCTGAGCCCCCGGACCCACATACTCAGAAGAACAGAAAGCACAACACTGAGTGGTGCCCTCGTCGGCCAAGGGACCCCCGTCGGCCGGAAAGGTACCAACTCAGAATATGGTCCTGAAGCCAAGGAACCCGGGTGCCCTCGTCGGCCGTGCCCTCGTCAGCCGTGCCCTCGTCGGCCATGCCCTCGTCGGCCACGAAGACCTCACAGAACCGGATTTTACACTTACTCATTTGAACAGCCCATTAGTGGCTTTGTATTCGGCCCAATAGCGGTCCAGTTGTAGATGGGCCTCCCAAGCCCAAGGCTTGGGAGCCCAGCCCGTATTTTCTCTATAAATACTCCCCTTGGGAGTAGTTATAGGGGTGACAAATTCATTCTATTGAAGCATATTATTGCACTTCTCTCTCTAGCTCTCACTTCTCTCTAGATATACTTTATCATTTGGTGCTCTCGTTGAGAGCTAGAACAATCAAGTTAGCACCCTTCGTCGCTACCAAGCACAGCTAACCACTGATCATGGGAAGAACTAAATCAAACCGAAACCTCGTCAGCAAGGCCATCCCTGAGGACCAAGAGGCCAGGGAGCACGATGAGGACGCCACGGCCGACCAGGTCGGCGGCGGGGGGGGGGGGGGGGGGGGGGGGACGTCTTCCAGGAGGCCTTCAACCTCACGACGGACCTCCGCAACCAACTCAACGGCGGAGCCCCTGATGCCCGCATCGGCTTGGACAAGAAACGAGCTGAGAAGACGGACCACGCCCCGGCCCAGCCTATGGCCGCGGCCTCTCCGTCCGTGGATCCACAGGTCCAGGCCGCGCTGTCGGTCATCATCGCCAGCCTGGCCCAGAACCCCGCCGTCCTCAGCGCACTCTTGCCAAGGACCGGGGGGGAACGTCACTCCACCTCCTCAGCCCCAGCCGTTGGCCGTCCAGATAGGCAACGATGAGGGGGTGATGGCCCAGGACACGACATCGTCCCACTCCCACCCAGCTTCCCCTCTTCGGCCTGGGCAGACCCCAACGCGTGGAAAAGCCTCTGCCTTCAACAGGCTAGGTGACACGCGCCGTCGTCCGGTTTCGGAGAGGATGGCAGGACGGATTGGTGAGCGTCAGCCTGGCTCGCCGAGGGAAAGCTTGGGGTCTGTGTCCCGGACAGCGGACCAGCCCCGCCCGGACAAGGGCAAGAGGAAGTTGCACGAGGACGACGTGCGCCACCAGATCAACGCGGCTCACGACGAGCGCATGAGGAACCAGCCAGGCGCCGCTGCGGCCGCTAGGGACCCTCGGGACGAGGTCATCGCCCAGCTGGAAAGGAGGCTGGCTCAGATGGAGGCCAAGCAGTCGGCCAACATCCCTACGGCCGGTGCCTCCAACGACCCCGCCTCAACGCGCTCATGAACAAAGTCAGCGCCCTGGAGAGGGAGTTGGCCGAGGGGTGAGGTGACCCCATCATCCAGGTCAGGACCAGGACCCCTTTCACCAACAGGGTCCTCTCGGCCCCCATCCTGGAGAAGTACAGGGGAAACGCCATCAAGTCCTACGACGGCCGATCAGACCCCCAGGAACACTTCAGCCGTTATCAGAACAACATGCTGATGGTGAACGCGTCAGACGAATACCTCTGCCGTTGGTTCCTCTCTACTCTCGAGGGGCCAGCGTACGAGTGGTTCAACGCGCTCCCCGAAGGGAGCATCGACTCATGGCAGGATCTTGCCCAACGCTTCCTCACCCACTTTGCCGGGAGGAAGCGTGCGAAGAAGTATTTCACCCACCTCCTCTCCGTCAAGCAGCAGCATGATGAGTCCCTCCGGTCATTCATTGATCGGTGGACGAGGGAGACCGAAGAAGTCGAGGGGGCCGACGAGCGCACCCTCCTCGCCTTGTATCAGGGAGCCCTCCGCAGCTCCCCGTACGCTAGGAGCATCATCACCGACCCTCCGAGGTCGTACGCCAAGGCGCTCCAGCGCGGAGGCTTGTACGCCGACGCCGACGAGCTCCACAATCACAAG